CCCTTTTGGCTCTTTCTCTAAACAGTGGGGGTGGTAGGCTCTTACAGGTTTAGGATCTAATGCATAGCAGATAACTTGTGCCTTTCCTCCCTTTATACTTTTCACACATATACAACCCCCAGGCTACAGGAAATCAGAATTACAGTGTGGAAGGAAAGGCAGAGGTCTGTGGCTGCTGAAAGGAGTGGATTCCAAGGGACAACCAGCCCTTGTGACCTGCTGTCCCTCTCCCTTCTCTGTTTTGTTGGTACTACTTCCTGCAGGCACATAGGGGAAGAGTGGGCGTAAATGGGTGTAGATTTTCACAGGACCCAGAAACAATTTAGAGAAGATAGGGCATTAAGGCATGGGCTTCATTTCTGTCACTAGTAAAGGGTCATTGCAGCAAAAGAGGTAGGAAATCTTTTGTGTGTGAAGACATAGTAGGAGAAAAGAAAAAGTAGTAAAGAGATATGAGGAAAGGAGGCAAAAGGAGGACAGTGTTTATGTGCCTTCCCTTCTTCACTTCTAAATATTAACAGCCCTCATTCTTCTCAAAGTTAGTATCAATGATCATAGAGATCATGAGTGTATGTGTGTGCACACACATGCACACACATGAAATAGTTATATTTGTTCATAATAAGCAGTAATGTACTGACATTCTATTAAATTCTGTTAAGTGTTGGTTGCAGTCTTTCCATATAATTACTCAGCTAAAATAAAGCAAAATGTATTTTAAAATAGCATAATGGTCTGTGTTTGTACAGCATCTAGCACAAAAGTGTGCTAGTCCATAACTAGGGCTCCTGCATGATGGTAATTCAAATAATAAAAAATACTAACAATTGATACCGGTTTCTGTTTCATTAAAGTTAAAAGATTCCATTTCTTTGCAATATTATTATATTTAATAAAATAGTTCATTTCAACATGTGTGTACCACTGGCAGGATCATAGGAAAGTCGGGCTGGAAGGGACTTCCAGAGGTCATCCAGCTTAACCCTCTGCCTGAGGCAGGCTCATCCATGTCCAAACTATTCCAAACAAATCCTTGTCTAACCTATACCTCAAACTACACAATCAATCCTGTAACACAACTATGAGGTATGTTTCCCAAAGATACCAAAAGCACCCTAACCTGTCACATGTAAAGCAGGGGGACAGTAAAGGTCAACAGGTGTGTCTACATGTGCCTGATAATGCCCTGCAATAAGCTCCAGAACTTACTGCTGCCCAAGCGCATGTCTGCACCTGTGCATTATGTTGCAATATGTTGAGCTGGGTTGGAGGGTCAGCCTGCCAGCCCAGGGATGCTCCCTGCAACTCAGTGTGCTGCAGAGGGGCTGGCTGGGGCACAAGGGTACTCCAGGATGGGGCTAGCCAGAAGGCAGCCCCCAAATAGCATCACCTTCACACCTCAGCCAGCCTCTCTGGTGTCCATGTGCGCAGCTGTGGAGTAAATTAGTTTATTCCAGCCTAATGAAGGTGCATGTGTAGACACCAAGATGTTTACTTCACAGCTAATTAGTCAACTGTGCAGTAAATGTCTCATGCAGATGTGTCCAGTTAGCAATTATTTGTATTTTACCATCTATATTATGTGAGACCAGGATTTGTTAGAGTGATATATTTTATTGGACCAGTTGGAAAATTGGGATGGGGTTAGACATGTTTGTGAATGAAGGTAATTTTTGTCAGGTTTCATCATTTGTGGACCATCACAGCTCCAACTTCACTCTTACACTACCACAACATGCGTATTAGTCATAATTTCTAACATTTAAAACTGTAACCTTCATTTTAGTCACTAGGTGGTACTACAGGCTACATTATAGTACTGAGAGGCATTGACAGTAAAAGATTTAAAGCAACCTATTTCTCAATAATCCCTCATTTTATCTTCATTTTACATTCTTTTAGGTAGCTTTTTAAAACTTACCTGCTTTTTTGCACCTTCAGAGAACTGATACAATTTGCCCTTTGCAAATGTTGGTGGTTGCACTAGGTTTCATTCTGTCTTCTCACTACCTGATTTGTACCTAAATATCTGATAGTGAGACATCAAAATTACATAGAAAGTGCAAAATAGTTGTGCCTTGTAGCACTACTCTCAAACAGGCATTAATACTCCATGCAGGCATCTTTGTAAACATGGAGCAATATAGATGCTATGGTCAGGTTAATTGGCCATCTTGCTCAGTAATACTAATTAGACAGCCCAAGGCAGCACATAGGTATGCACACACAGTGTCAGATATAGGAGAAAAGTGGTATAGAGTGGCCTAGAATGGTTGTGGGTGCTGCTGCTTGGCATGGTAAGTTCACTAAACTGTCACAGCCATAGAGGGCTCATCATCACTTTTATGTACTAAATTATAAGAGCAAAAGGAAGGGCAGGTTATGGCTGGTCTGAAGGTGAGGGGAGGTGTTGAAAGGTTTTGTCCTATTCATTCTGTCTTTTTATCCCCTTGGACTGCAATTTGGTACTCCAAAAAGATAAAAGGGCTGTGCTGCTTGAGAAGAAAGAGTAGAGATGGAGTCAGAATCTGATTCTGACTTCTGAGAGGAGTAATCTGCACCAGTTGTTTTGGTGGCAGAGATTAGTTCTCTGTGCCAGTGTTGAAGTACTCAGTATGCCAGGACCTTAGCCACTTCTCATTTTTTGCTAGTCCTCTCCCTCTTCACTTGCAGAGGAGAAATAGCAGCAGCAGCCTAACAGCATCCTCCTCTACTCTGGCTCTGGGGCAGCCTGTACAGGGCTACAATAAGAATCCCTCTTCCACCCTGTACAAGCATCCACTAACATACACAGTTTAGCAGCTCATGGCTACACAGTATGTCAGTGTGTACTTGTCCCACAAAGTGCATCCATTCCCACCAGCACCTTGTGGGCTTTGCTTCTCAGAGCTCCAGTGTCAGGCCCAGGAGCTGCTTTTCCACCAGCAGGCAGCACTCAGCAGTTTGCAGCTTTGCGGCTGCTGGAGATGGAGGTTATGCTGGGTGGTACTGAGGCACTTTCAGTCTCTCCCTCTGCCAGTTAATCATTGCTTTCTTGTTCAGACTCGTCCTTTACCTCCCCTGTTTCTTTCATTTGAGAAAAGGCAGTCACTGAGTAGCTGTCAGGGGAGGGGAAGTAATTGTGGCCATCTGCCCTCTTTGTGTTGACATCTGACAGGAAGAGTCAGAGAACCCAGCTGGTAAGCTGAGCCACCAGGTCTCAAGCATAAAAGCAGATAGTGCAGGCTAAAAGCCAGAGTTTAAGCAGCTCTGTTTTCTATGTATACTGCTGTTGGGTATATTAACTCCCCCTACTGGCAAAGCTCTTTCAGAACAACAAGACTGGCATCCAAATTAAGCCTGGCTGCATTAGGGACTCTGCTTTTTTCTTTGCCCTCTTTTCATCTACACGGTTTTTAAAATCACGTTAGTCATTTAGCCATTTTCCTGCTGTTCCCTCCAGTCTCTTCTGTCCCATATCTTCCCTTCTGTCCTCCATCTTTCCCGTCTTCTGAGGCATACTTGATATAGATTCATACTCTAACGTATGCTTGAAACATGCTGTCTTGTATAGTGCAGATTGGCAAAACTGAAGAGACTTGAGACAGATTTTGGCCTTTTTGCTTCTTTTGGAGTGAAGGAATAGGGGATTCTGCTATAGGAGAACATGCAAAGTTCTGTTACACACAGTTGCCATCTAAATTAACAATAGCAGCCTCAATTACCATCCGAGTACCATGGAAGGTTATAGCTGTTCCCAACTAAGTGGATATGTGTTCTCTTTCTCCTCTTTATGCTGATACATATACTGCTAGAAATAAAGGATATGATATAAAACCTTCCTTTCTTACTTCATTTACATACAAATCCTCTAACCCCCAGAGGTAGATTCTCCTTCATAAATCTCTGTAAAATGGAAGTGTTTTCAAAAAGGAACCTTTTTAATGCTAAAATAGACAGCAGTCATCAGCTTTTTAATCACTAAAGGTATGTCTGTACTATGGCAACAGCATATCCCTGAATGGATGACTTGGGGCATGCTCCAAATTTGGAAATGTTCCAGTGAACACTCTGGGGTGTTCCTCTGTGGCCCCCTATGAGACCTTGGTCTCCGGTACGTTTCAGAATGCATCGTACTGCTAGGGTCTGCTGGGGACAACTCCAGAGAATTTCCACAGACCTATTTATCAGTTTGGGACATGAATGCAGGTGGGTGGCCTGGCTGGTTGTATTTGTGTTAACATGAGTGACAAAACAATTTAGGAATACTGTACTACTGACTACAAGCCTCTGAGGCCATGTAGACTTAGATATCTGAGATGGTTTGCCACTTGTAATTCTTGTTAATCTACTTATATTTATTAATCATCATCCCCTGTGCTCTTCCATCAAGCTAAACAGATTTAATAATGTTGTAATTTTATTTTCCTGTATTTGTGTTCCCATATGCATAGATACGAGTCACGCAAGGCAAAGAGCCTGCACATTTGCTCAGCTTGTTCAAAAATAAGCCACTCATTGTCTACAAGGATGGAACATCTAAGAAAGGAGGTCAGAAACCTGCTTCCCCCACACGCCTGTTTCAAATACGCAAAAATCTGGCCTCCACTACCAGGATTATAGAGGTAAAGTCCGTTAACAATACTCTATGTACAGTTACAATGAATACCAGAAACAAAGTTTCTGATATTTAATGACTATAACTTAAGTAAGGTTATAAGAATTCTGAGTTGAACCAGATGCTGTTTTGGTTTAATACAGTTATGTTGTTTCTGACAAAGATCAGGATTCCATAATTCAGAGGAAACTGCAAGAAGCTATCTAGAGGACAACTGAAGAATCATTTGGGCATAGGGGACATTTATTCATAAGCACAGGGAACTAATACCAATATTTTTTTCTTTCTGGCCAGTTACTAATATCAAGCTAAAACCTTGTCTTGCCCCTGCCAAGTATAAATCTAGAGAAACACTAGTACTAAGGACTATTGTGAGACTCCGAATTTAGACCATTGTTAAATCTCAGCACCCATGTAATGAAGATGAAAATTAGAGTTATTTGAAAATCAGAAGGAAACAATCTCACTCTTGTTCTAGGTTGATGTTGATGCAACTTCACTGAACTCCAATGATGTTTTTGTTCTGAAACTGCCAACAAACTCAGGCTATACCTGGGTAGGAAAAGGAGCAAGCAAAGAAGAAGAGAAGGGAGCTCAGTACGTAGCCAGTGTTCTAAAATGTCAAATGGCTAGGATTGATGAAGGCAAGGAACCAGGTGAGCACTCTGCAGTCTGGCTGTTCATTGTGAACTGAGGCTGCATAGCACCACACAGAATTGGGTCCCATGTCTTCACACCATGGGATACTTGCAGACATTTTTGTGGAACCAGCTGATTGAATCAGCTATTAGATAAAAGCACCAAAAAACCCTGCTGAAGAGCCCACTCTATTCAGATGCTGGGGAGCCTGGTAAAATTAACACACTTCCTCTACTGGTAAAGTGTCGTTTGGGGTTTTTTTTCCATGGCTCAGCAGCCAAAGGCATTTGCCTCAAGTTGATTACTAATAGCAAAGCCTCAGAGAAGTCATTAGGGTTACAGTGGAGACAGAGCATTACTGAATTTGTCCTTTCTATATGTTGGGCAACAGAAACAGAGAGAGAGAAAAAGAAAGGTGTTGCTCTGTGGTTGCATGTAGATATCTGCCAATAAAGAAAAATGTTCACATCAGAAAAAGTGAAAAGGGGATTTTTGAAAAAATGTTTAGCATTATAAAGCTCAGCGCCAAGTAGATGATTATTATATATTCCAGCGGAATTCTGGAAAGCCCTTGGAGGCAAGAAACAATACCAGACTTCCACACAGCTCCTGACTGAGTCTGAAGACCACCCTCCTCGTCTGTATGGCTGTTCTAACAAAACTGGCAGGTTTATTGTAAGTATGTTATGGATACTTTCCCCTGTGCTAACTCTGTACTCTTTAGTACATTTTAATATTCAGCTGCAAGACTGCTAAATGAAACTCCTCTTGGGGCTGCCATTGATACAATATGATACCTTTATGAATTAATAGGTCACCATCCCAGTCCTTATAAGCAGCACAGAAGAAATAATGAGTGTTTGTTCTGTTGCTGTAGGGTTAGAGACAAATGACAGTTGGAGCATAATAACGTTTCAAAACCATTTCCTTCTCATTTCATTACGCATAGGGATAAAAGTGATGGAAGAGATGAATGTCTCAAAACCAAACTGGAAGTCTATTAGGTTGTTTCAAGAATTGAAAATGCATCACTCAGTTGTGGTGAGGATAACACTGGTGAGGATCATGGGGTAGGGTGAGAGAAGAGGCATGTTGTGCTGAGCATTCTGACTGAGCAGGTCAGATAGTGGTATAGGCATAAAGGCCATAGAAACTTCTGTGGAAGACCCAGCTTTTGAAGGAAGCCATTTATTCTCTTGTTAGTATCTGGTACCTGATACTGCTAAGTGCACAAGCAGGTATGGGCTTGACTGTACCTAGCCAGCTATGTGTTATGGAGCTTTGTCCAGCATGAGAGTTGAACCCAAAGCTGATGGTTTAAGGAAGTGCTATGTTTGACATCCTCAGCAATCCCTCAATGTGAGGTCCACAGGTAGTTTTGTAGCACTCCCTAGTGTCAGAAGCAACCAAAAGTCCCCCCCCCCCCGAG